TCAATCAATCAATCGATCAATCAATCGATCAATCAATCGATCAATCAATCGATCAATCAATCAATCGATCAATCCAGTCAATCAAACGATCGGTCAATCACTGGCGATTAATCAATCAATCCTATAGTTAAAGTGGTCAGCACGCTTATCTAGGAGTTTTGTTTTCAGATAAGCCACGAAATAATGGGATGAAAATTTAAAATAAAAACTTCATTGGAGGTATATAAAATATAATAAGTTGCAAAGATCATGAATCAAAATAGTGATGGCCACAAAATTTTTAAGAAGTAGAAATCATAATCCAATTTGATAGTATCATATCGGTCGAATCTTATTTCAGCTATTTTTAACAACTTAATGTTTCTCCTGAACTGATCAAATTTTCATGGAAAAGACAATGTATCTTTTCTCTCATTACCATCCCCGTCTGCATCTGTTGAAGGCCCAGTCTCCTGGGTCATTGTTTCTCCACTGTTCAAAAGCCAATCAAAGTCATCACTGTTGTCGTTTATCCACGAACAGAAATGACCAGCGAACGAACAATTATCTAGAAAGTAAGAGAATGAAGTTATATCAGAAAACTGAACAATAGTGAAAAAAATGTGGAAAATCAGCAAATTGGCATGCATTGAAGAAAATGAAATCATCGATAAATTTACCTTAGTTTGAGAATGATAAAAAAAGACTGCGAAGTAAGCTTTTGAGGATATGTTGGTGGTTGTGCAGTGATGACGTTGATGGTAATATGACATATTTGTTGAACTTGAGATCACTTCATGTCCAACGCGAATTCGTTGAGTAATCATTAAAACGAACGAAGGATGGGATCTGACACAGTACCAGAGGTGACAAGTTAACAAGGGATCGATGAGTGACTAAATGTACTATGAGAGTCAGGCTTACTTTCGGAGAGCAAGTGAAACGGTATCGTCGGCGTAGATGTCACCATCTTTTGAGTCGTTGGAGAAATAGTAGTTGGCGTAAACGGTGGACACGTCCCCTTGGTGAACTGAATGTTGTCTATAGCAATATCGCTCCTCCAAACACCAATCACGGCTTCAATTTGTATCTAAAAAATTACAGTATCCATTCAGAACATTAAGTTATGAAATTTACGTCGTTACAGTGTGTACTTTCTCCTTTTGAGGCAAATTATTGCCTGTAAAAAAGGTCTCAAAAGATGGACTGTGGGCAGTTCCCGTTCAGAAGGTCAAGAAGTGCGAGCAAGGCCAAAGAAGTATTGCCCTCCTTACCATTCTCATCCCAGAGGCCACAAACTTTTGGTTACTCCCAAGAAGAGCGACCTTTCACCGGACCCTCTTAATTGAGTTTGCTAGATTACTTTTTTTCTATTTTCTTTTTCTTGAGGCCAATAAGTTTTGACAAGAAAACGATTCAAGCGTTGCGATTCGATCAAGTGACGAAACATTGGTTGTGAAAGGCAAGCTTACCTACTGAGCGATGTAGACCGACTTCAAAAATGCATTTTTGCCACTCGGCAAAGATGTCGCTTGTCGTGGCAAGGATTCTTACAATCGTAACAAATCTCACAACTTTTTAAAAATTACTCCTTACTCTAGGAATCCAATGAAATAGGAAATTGCCACGGGGTGGGAAACTGTGAATATTTTTACATCGAAGAGTATAGACTGAATGATCGTTATCAGTTCTTCAGTTTACCATATATGAAGGCGAGTCACAGGGAAGGGTAATACGTGCTTCGTGCCATCTGTCGCCTTGGTCACCTTTGCGACGCCATAGCCGACTCCTCATAACCCCGTCGCCAAAACGATGAACAGACAGATAACCTACGTCTTGACCATACATGTAATACATGAAGCGTATGCACTGTAGACCCTTCAAAACGCCGCTGATCAAGGTGGCTTTGTCACCAAAACGGCGAGGCTCAGAAGATTCCACATAGAGGTACTGGCCTACGAAATCAAATTATGGCGAAAGATCAGTTAAACTTTGAATGAGATCCTCTTCTGGTTCGACAGTTGAGGTAATAAGAAGGTGGATTTATTATTGTACATCTATAAGAATTAGGTGCAGCTTCGCGGATTTTTTCCGTTTCTCTCGCTCTGATCGGAGTGTTCTGAGTGTGCAGTTTCTATCTGCCTTTTTAAGCCTCCCAAAACTCTGTCAGATTTAACAAAGGTGGAAGTTGGGCTCTTAAAAAACTCTCATAAAATGGTTAATTTGAGTTCTAGTATCTTCCAAAACGTAAGGGTCAACCTTAACTCTTTTGCAAACTGAATTTACCTATTCCACTGTGCACTGGATAGTGCCATGCAAAAGCAGTTCTCTCTAAGTACTGACTTAATCTCTTTCGTCTGTACGGATGCCCCACAGAGCGCAAAGCGAGGCGGTCAAAATCATAAGACACAAGTTAACATGATTAACATTATTAGCGGAAAGAAAGATTAAGCTACAGCAAACTAGAGCCAAATTTATCATTAATTCTGTTTATTTTAAGAGCTTAATGTCAAAGCCTTAACTAGCCTAAAGAAGCTCATCAGTCACAAGTTATTAACGGAAACAAACATCTGCCCAAAATATTAGATTGTGTTAACTTCTATCTTGGATTAGCCCAAATCCTCTCCACCGGGTGCGGGAGGTCAAATTTTTGGCCAACCAACTATATAAACTCCTTAATCCTTAAAATCACATCGTATATTGACAAGCCGCAAAGCAGCGAGGTCGGAAGAAAGAAAGCAGAACGGCTTCTGGGAAAGACGGTCAAGGCATTCAATACAGTTGCTGACCTTCTCCTTTGTAACCAGCTGTTGGTCCAGTTCCCTCGCTCGGCGTTCCTCCCTCTATAAGCTGCCAGTCGAAATCATCGCTTTTATCGTTTATCCATTCACACATTCCCTCATCAAATGTACAGTTTCCTGGTGAGAACGAAAATAATAACAGACGCCTGAAAATACGGAGCTCAGTCACGTTATTTTGAGTTCTTTTGGCCACGTAAAACATTACTACAAAGAAACGCACCAATGAGATTGTAATAAAACTGCAGGAACAAGGATGGTTTAGGATGGAGAAGATCAATGAGGATTGCAAACGACGAATTTGAAAACTTTAGCCTAAACGTTTCAAGATGCACAAACGTGACGTAGCTCCTTTAATCGAATTAATCAACTTAACTGCACGCTGTTCATCAGGATACGAGCTTGATTATATCAGATAACTGACATTTTGTACTAAAATATGAACGTATGCAAGGATAAGTTGCTTCCCGTCAGTTCTGGTAAGTTATCTGTTAGGTATCTGGTAGGTTTGCACACTAAGAAAGTGTTTTTTTTTTTCTCACTTGTATTGTTCTTACTTGTACGTTGGGGCTATGAGTGAGGTCACTTCAAAAGAAGGGTGCAGGATATTGCACATAAGAAGAAGCACAACTGAGACCTATGCACAAGATCATTCTTGCTAGAAATTAATTTGATTATTTGTAACATGTGACTTACCAATTAAACCTGCGTCGAATGACTCCTGCTTTAGCTGGCAGCAGGTTCCTTTGCTAAAGTAAATGTCGTCTACAGCAATATCAGACAAGTAGGTCGGCCCAACCACTCCTTCGAATATGATCTGCAAATTTGAATAATTAATAATATTTGACAAATCTCTATACGCTTTGTCTTGAACTGAAGATAAAACGCTTTAGAATGGAAATAAACAAAAACGAAGCATTTAATGGTGTCACGTTACGCAAAAATCAGCATCAAGATTCCTCAATTTTTGCGTCACGGTTCGCCTTGATTATAATATCTCTATGATGATATTTAGTCTTGAGACAACCAGATCAGAAGCAGTGATGATCAGGCTAAGTATATATTTCACAGGGTTAGCTGATGGTCAATTTTCAGACATAATTGGTTGATCCTTGTCCATACATATTTCTTGTCACTGACACTGTCAGCCAATTATTCCCATTGAGTCAGTGATCTCTTGGACCTATCAAGTATTCATTATACTGAGCACAAAAATATTCCTTGACAATAAGTTGGAGAATAATCAGATTGATTCTTGAAAGCGATCGTAACCTGACAGTACAACTGGTTTACGTATCTGGAGAACTTTACTTCCAATAGGCCTTTCCGAATTACCTAGCTAATGCCTCTGTTTCAAAACTAGTCCTAGTGCAAAACCTTGAACTGAAAATGAGTTTGATTTGCATGAAAATGAACCTGTAGTGGAAACACATTTTCGTATGACTGGTTTAGCACGCAGACCAGTTTTGACTCAGAGGCAAAAGGCTACTCGGATATGGTCTGTTGACACCTAATTGGATCAGAAACATTCCGACGACTTTCAATTTGGCCAGGCACCTAATCCGATTACCGGTTGATCATCATCATTGTGTACTGTACCAAGTACTCTCCTATGTAGGAAATAATTGAAATAGTTGTTGCACGAGGGGAACAAAACATAGCTATACCATTACAAGGTTGCTGGTTATTGAAAGTACCTGGTAACAGGCTCCACCGATCTCAACTAGGGCCTCATGCCAATCCGTTCCCTGGTTTCCTGACATGGTCCATAAAAGGTCATCACTTCGCATGCCTTCTCTTTTGTACACATTTAGTGTTCCCATGCGCCTTCCGTTCATGTTGTAAAAGAATTGCAAGCACATTCTCCCACACAATCGTGGCCCCATAAGCAGTGCTAAGTGCCTGTGCCTCTGAGGCTCAGACGACTCAATAAAGATATATGCTCCTAAAGGGAAACAGAGTGAGATTCTCGCAACGGCAGTAACAGCTATATATTTGAAAGAAGGTTGTAGCACAAAATGTACTCGTTTTACCTTCCATGGCAAACGACAACGACCCAAATGTACAGAGGTTATAGACGAGGCATGTATAAACATTTATTTTACCGAATAGTCCCTTTCAAGCCAGCTCATAAGAAAAAAAAAACACATTTGATAAAAACAAAACTCAGAAGGCTACTCTTTTGTATTTTTATTTTGATAGATAGGCTTTTAAAAATTTAATTTGAACATAGTCCTGATGATTGTAACTCTTTTTAGGTGTCCCCAATTAGCAGCAATGCTAAATCTCATTGATACTTAAATAAAGTTATTATTATTGTTATTATAGTCATGTTGAGGTACACAAACATCTTGACGGCCACGAAAGGATACTTGAAGAAAAGCAATTTAGTTGCAAAAAGTGATCTGAAATCCTCACATGTTAACGGGCTCACTATATGAGAGAATTTGATATTTAAATGTAACCATTCCTGAAAGTGTATATATAAAAAAAAAAATTGTTACCGTCGTGTCCAGTGTGATCCTTTTCCGGACCAGTGAACATCGTTCCCGTTTTTCCACTGTTCAAAGCCCAGTCAAACTGATCGCCGAGAGGCAGATTGATCCATTCACAGAAACCACCATCAAAATCACATGTGCCTGAAACGTAATTGAGGTTCAAAATGAAGGTATTTTGAAATATTGGTCAATCTATTCAGCTATTCTCCTCCTCTCTCTCATCCCCCGCTCCCCTCTCCCCATCGTTCCTTCCATCCATCTTTCTAGCTGTTCGTACTGTCTGTTTGTTCGCTTTCTTGTCCGTCCATTATTTCATGAATGCATGCATTCACTCGATCACTCGCCGTCGTTCACTTTTTCAGTCAACCAGTCAATAGAGCAATTTATTTTATGGCTTGTGCTTGTAGCCGATATAACGCGCGCTCTGATTGGTTAGTTCTAGGGCAATATTCTCCCGTAATGCCCATGGGCCGATTACGGGCCCGCAAAACCAAAAGCAAAAAGCCATATAATAAACAACTTATTAACCTTGAGCGGTTGGTCTTTAGGGGAAAATCTCAAAGCGAGACCTTGCCGTATTGACCTCGACATCACTCGGTCAATACGGTAAGGGCTTCGGTTTGAGATTTTCCCGTAAAGATCTCGCTTTCGGTTAATAAGTAGTTCAATACTAACACTCAATCATTAGTTCCATGCCCTTCAAATGTTCTGCTGATTCAGCTTTATATCTTTTACTGAACGTCTCTTCCCATACGCGCACGTTTGTGTGTTTCTGAAGTTCGCATGCTAGCAGCAAGTTGGACAGTTTTGATCCAAGCTGAAACGTCAGATTTGGTATTTACCTATTGCTTTGCTAATTATTACCTGGCTCTCCCTTTTTAATCTCTTGGAATAGCGTCACATTGCGTGGTCTTGGTACATAGTTAAGCTTCTTTCCATCGCATGTGCCGTTCACAAACGTGATATCGTCCAAGGCAATATCTCCCTGGTATGATTTGCCCACTCTGGCGACAAATATGACCTAAACGAAGATCGTTGTAATCAGCCTTTAAAACATGTGTTCATTTAGCATGATTCTCGTGAACAAAAACAGAATAACAGAGAGCATGCTTAGATTTTGTAGTTTTAAAACAGGTAAGACTCGATCGTTTCCTGGTATGAAGCACTGGCAGGTGTTTTTTACACTTTGAGTCGCAACACAACACATTGCCTTCCCACTCGCTCTAGTCATTGGTTATCCTGACTTTTATATCAACTGTTATTAAGGACGTCTTTTTCTATTATTATTATTATTATTATTATTATTATTATTTCTTTCGTTGTTTGTCCTTACTGTGTAATTGTTGCCAAACACAGTAACGTTGGAGTATCTCCAAGTGTTGCCTTGGTTCTTGTATCGCCCCCATATGTAGCTCTGCATACCAGCCTCGCTCAGGTAGATCTGAAGATCCGCGATGTGTCTCCCGTACATATGGTAGTAAAAACGCATACATTTTATTCCTGAAAACGGGCCACCAACCAGACGGGTAGTCTGACCAGATTTCCGTGGCCAAGATGTTTCTGCGTATATGAAGTAGCCTACAGAAGATATTTGTTTCACATTATTTCTGTCATTCAGTGTTATTAAAAGGCCTAAATATGCTTCCAAAAATGCGACACAAGGTCTGTATAAATAGCCTGATGGATTCAGCACAAAAGGGAACAAATAGAAGTAAGTAAAAAAATCAGTCTGCAATCAGCTGTGATGCGTAAAAACTGTATGTATTTAGAACATCAAAGATTCATCCTGCTCCATTCTTATTTTCAAGCTATCATCTAGCCTGAAGTTTCACTCGGCTCCCGGCCTCGGCACAAACGCCAAGTGTGGTGTTAACCTGGGAGTTAGAGACGACTGGCTATTTTAGGCCACAGTTAGATTATGTTCAGGCCAGACAGCTTCTCATACTAAGTTCAAGTTAACCCTCTCAGCAATATCTCAATATTCGAGACAAGCAAAAACAACAAAAAAACAACTTCGTCTAGAAGCCAGCACGTTTTATCAGCACACGTCCTTGCACTTGACCCTCAAGAAAGCCCCCTTCACTCAGAAGTATAAACGTGTGCCGCCTAAAAATTGTTTAGACTACCTGGCACTCAATGCTCCAAATTATTTTAAAAGTTTGATGGATCAACATCTCATCGAGGGAGGGGTAGGGAGGCAAGTGGTTGCTAGCTAATTGCCTCTTGCCACAGAAACTGGAGTCAACAGAACCGGTAATGAGAAGCTTTCTGGTTCCACCGGCCGATGTTCCCGTCGGTTCATCATTATATTTGCCTCAGGAATAAACTACAGACTCGTCGCAGGCATTTTTTTTTTTCATCGCCAACAATTTTCTTAGCTCCTAACTGTATGTTGTCTATAGTGAGTTGTATATAAAGTGGGTATTAAGTCACCTACCTTGACCTGCGCGATCTTCAGTTGGCCCCGTGTTACTGCTGGGTGTCTTTTCATTCAGTCGTATCCAGTCGAAGTCATCCCCGCTTGCATCATTGGTCCAGTTACAGAAATCCACGTCGAAATCACACCCTCCATCTTCTAAAAATCAAATAACACATTATAAGTATAAGTAGTGCTTAAGTTGCCAAGACATGGGGGAGATTGCTGGTAACTTTCGTGTAGCAAATGCCCGGGGGTGGGGGTATACGAGCCTCTTCCCAAAAAACCTTACCTATTTATGACCAAAAACTGCAATTTTCCCTACCCTATCTATGACCTGACCAAAAATTTGACACCCTATTTATGACCTGACCCTTCAATCACTATTAAAAATAAAACCTGCCTTGTAATTAGTTACCTAGTTCAGACCGATGTTAAAGGCATTGTAAAGGGCTTTTGTTGATGTCTTTTCGATAATGATGAAGAGGTAGCTTCTTCTAAAAAACATACCCAATTCAAGACTAGAGTGCAAAAGCCATACCCTTTGCTAGACCAAAATGGCTAAAATCGATACCCTATTTATGACCAAAACAGCTGAAAACCCATACACTTTTGGGTCGCACGTACATAGCCTAATAAGGGAGTGCCTCCCCGGGAGCAAATGAAGCCAAAATGACAATAATTAACCTTGTTTATAGCGTAAACAGCAGTTAGAAACTTGCTCTAGTAATTCAGTCTGAAAGAGCTTGAAATGTAGCGCGATAAGCAATCGGTAGGCTCTACAAACAATTAAAAGGCGATCTGCCTAAGAATTTATAACTCATAATATTGCTTTTCATTTAAAGCATGAGGAGGAACATGCTTCATATCAACCGAAGAATATGTCCGGGACATTTTGTCCTTCCTCCTGGCAAAGATTTCTTTCGAAGAGTCTTCTTTCAGTTCGAAACAGAAGACAGTATAGAGTGACGTCGAAGAACCTAGTGAAGAACCTACAGGCTGAAATTTGGAAATTAGCCCCCCACTAAATAAGAACCTATTCAGCCTGAAATTTGAAACAGTTATTGTTTGTAAGATCAGCCCAATTAGGTTAATTCAAAAAGCAGGCATTGTAGGAGTACTAATACTATTATTTGATGCATTGAGTCGCCTTCAAGTTGCCTGTCTGTTATCTAAATTTTCAGCCCCCTTGTAGTCCAGGCCCCGGTTGTTCCAAGGGGCGATAACACTGTCTACCTGATAAATCGCTATCCAGCGTAGAAGTGTTGGCAAAACAAACCACGCTATGCTATCCACTGCATAGTGATTTATGCGGTGGATAGCTAGCGTTATACACACTTTAACAACTGGGGCCAGCAATATGAGATGTGTGCTGTTTAGTGTAGTTGTAAAATAAAAACCTAATTAAGAACCTATCAGCCTGATTTCCCACTGAACACTCGATATTTAAGAAACAATTCATGCAGGCTGAGTTGTAAATGTAGGTTCTTATAAGCGGGCGTTTACTGCATTTCGCAGAGGGAGGCTTTTCCATGCGTGGCCGATGCGGATCGCGTTAAAGTTCACGGAGCACCTACTTTAGATTTCTGTCACTCTCTCGACTCCCAGACGGATTCGATATCTGTCCAAGGGGTGCGTTTTGGGAAATTAGGACAGGGTATAATTTTCTACAGAGCAGAATTGTAAATTGGGACATTCGTTTAGCTGTATGGGTGCGGTAATTTGAAACTCGTGTTGATTTGCTCATAACGCCAAACTCAGAGTACGTTGAAATTAGTATTGTGTTGAACACGTTAGTCTACAAGCCCCTCCACAGCATGTTTTTGCAATCTGAAGATATCAGCCTTCGCTCTGACTGAGCAGGACAGAGTCTACTTCACGCAGAGTCCTGACTTCACGTAACGTTCTCACGTTTTACTCAAACAAAAAAGAAATTAAAAAAAAACTTTCTGTGCACGTAAAATAATTAGTCTTCCAGCCTTTGGTCGGGAAGATCTGTCAACTCACCGGCTTGCCTGTGCGCGCCCACTTCACACTCAATTTACCACATTAGCTCTGTCATCGCCAGACACGTTTACGCATGTTTCGTAACTGGATAGTCTTTTCTATAACACGATTAATCTTCAAGAAGAACCTCCTTGATTGTCAAATTAAAAAAAAAATAATATTAATAAACTTCTTGATGATGTAAAGAATCATTTTGTACCTCGTAAAATTCTTTACTTGTTTCATGTCGTACACTGAGCAAAGAGCCAAATATCAATATTCTGGCCCGAATTCGTTCGAATACGGATCGGCGCACGCCGCGTATTACCGAAATATTCTGAGGTATTCAAAGACGCCCGACGAGAAATAGACTTATTAGAACCCGGCCTGTTCTTCCGAATTCGACTCGAATATTGCAAGTGTGAAACATCCTTGAATACTCCAGGTGTACATCATGTATCGCAAGCGCTTTGAATACCCTAGGATCCTATAGATTCGAAGCTACATCACCGCGCTAGGATATTTTCATTCAGTGCAGCGGTGATAACAATGTTTTCCTTTGCAGATCATGGGTTACGGAAGTGTTTTTTGAGGTATGCTACTCGTGTAAAAGAACCCGGTATTGTCTAAAAAACGAGTATGCCAAGTCTGTGGGGTCACTAGGTTTGAATCTCATATCTGCCTGGGGCAAACAACTTGAACGTGAGGCAATTTTGGCCACTTGTAGGTATTGACAAATACTACTCTATCGATACTCTAATTCACTTCCTGCAACTGAACGAATGTTTCCAATTTCCAGCCCACATGATGCCAAGGTGCAAATAAGGGAAATCACGGGAAGCTTTGTTATAGTGCATCGTACCTTCGCTGTTACACTGTTTCGCTGGAAACGACCGTCATACTGCCTTGCAACTCAGTGCAATAATTGAAGCTAACTCAGTGATCTCGACGAACTCCAGGTGTCAGGTTTTATTCAAATCCCCCCTCCCAAAATAAATAACAGTAACGAAAAGAAAAACACTCAATGAAGAATGTAAATAAGTTGTTTCAGGTCATTGGTCAAAAAGTGCAGCTCACTGAATCCATAAACATTTTCAGCTGGATAACTGACAATGCACGAAAGCTTGGAGGAAGAAATGTTGTTACGTGCGTGCTTCAAACAATGCAGAACTTGAGATTTAAATTGCTTTTTATGCGAAAATACCAAAATCTTTCATCTCCTGGATTTCTTAAGACTAGACCGGATATGCATTTGCTTTCAACTGCTTAAGATAGCAACATTTTACAATCATCATGAGTGCTTGTGAATTTCCGTACCTCGTGTTTCTGATGCGTTCTCTTTTTTTATGCACATTGGATTTTCTGTCATTCATTTTTCCTCCATCAAAACTATTGATGACTCAGTGAAGACCGCTTTCATCCGCGCTCTCCTGACACAACTTGAAAACAACACAAAAATTTCTCGCAGTGCACGTACTTAATTGAAACAACTGAGCGACAGATCATTGTTATCAATCGGTGTTTCATTATTTCCGAGTACCACTATTGCAGTTACTTCATCTTTTGCAGTAGTAACAAACTTCCTTCACTATCGCAAGGATCTTAATTCCATGCTGTAATTATATTGATAAGTAGCACAATGAAGTCACGGGTACAATTCAAAACGTTACTTCACTGAGCAAGCATGTTACAAAAAAAAAAAAATCACTTAACTTCTCCGTGACACCATTAAAGTTAGGGCGATTGCATCTCTGTAACGTGAATAAACTAAAGAGCAAATAGATGACATACCCAAAACAGCTTCCCTGCTTTGTTCCAAGTCTACCGCGTCTACGAAGTCAGTCGTATTGACAACAGAGTTAGTGGCATTGACTTCTGTCTTGTTGAGGGAGACTACTCCGTTGTCAGACCGTAGAGCAAACGCAATCGTGAATAGGGTGAACTTCCAAGACAAGACTTTCATGGCGAGAAAAGCTGTGTTGGAACTCAAGCACGTTTGCTGCGGTGGAATAAACAACTATTAATCCCTTCCTAGTGCTGCCGGTCTGTTTTGTTTATGTACTGTGAGTGTGGCGCCCTGGAATCTTAAGTATGGGTGACTGTCAATCAGTGGGCGGTACTGCATTTACGAGCCGTACACGATCATTCCATAAAGCGTCAGAAAAAGGATGTGTTGTCAAAGCTAACTGGAACCCTTAAGCAACCCAAACACGTTACTTCCAATAATCCACGCCACTACATACTGTTTATATAACCTTGGTAAGATTGGATAAATATAATATTGTAATATGTATCAGTTATCCAAGCAGAAATATAGAGGCTCAAGGAGGTCATACAGCTGTAGATCTATAATCGAACGCTCTTGACACACGCTGTGTAAATCTGGTAAGTCCCGCCAACTAAGGCAGTCTTCCAAATTTAAGAGGGCTACGAGGTCACCGTTTTAGGCGATACTGTTACACACTGTTATTAAGTTGAACGAAATCGTGGCTTCAAATACAGTGGGTTTTCAAACGATAGACAGAATTGGAATACAGTCGAAACTCTCTAATACGGACACCGAAGGGACAGAGTGAAGTGTCCGTATCAGAGAGGTGTCCGTATTGGAGAGGTCACTATGATGACGTCACTATTAAGTCTCTTCTGACAGCTTAGAGTGTTAAGTAACTAAATCAGACCCAAAAGTGAGTCAGGGGTCTTGTGATTTTTTTAATCTAAATTGATTGACTTTATTGTACTTCTCCGTTATATGCTGCACATACAAATTTTGGACAGGAAATGGCACACACCGCAAAATATCGACACTTGGTCCCCGGAGTGTCCGTAATAAAGCGGTTAAATTTGTATGAACGTGCACACATA